TCAGGTGTCAGCACCCGAAACTACTATGTGCCCAGAGCCCCTTGAACCGGGCCCAGGCTGTCACCTCGATACAGAAGAGCTTAACAGCTCGCTGATAAACACAGGCACACTGTCAGCACCTACGGTGTCACGTCAGCAGCAGAACCAGCAGCGGCAGAAACAGAAACAAGGGTGGCGGACTGTAAGATAAAAAGAGCTCTTCCTCTCGCTCCCCATGGATTGAACTGAGACAGCGCCACCCCACGAAGCCTTTCCTATGAATTCCTTATGCAGCCTTCCTGCTGCTACTCAACACAGAAAAAAATTATGCTGTACCGACACACGTCACGAGCCGAGACAGGTTCTTGGGGCCCCCGCATGCACTCAGTAACAACAGGGGCTGTTGAAAAGATCAAAAGGAAAAGCAACGAGGGCAACCCACTGAACACCAGCTAGCCTCAACCGTGTACTTCATGAAGCCACCAACCCCTCCTCACCAGCCAGGCACGCAGCCACCACGGCTCAGCTCACTTCCTGCATGGATACGAAGCCGGCCTGTCCGCAATAAACTCAGGCAAACAATCTGCAGCATCCTTGCAGCAATTCAACTTCGTGAGGCGCAGGAGCAGGGGCCTCGAGGGAGCAGGGGCCTCGAGGGCCCCGTTCAAAGGTATGGGGGCCCTGGGGGCCCTGGGGCCCCTGGCTGCAGGGCGGAGAGCTCCGGGCCCCTCACCCCCGTACACGCATGTAAGAAAACCGCCTCCCTGCTCTAACTACTCCACGCAAACGCACCTCCTGTACCAATACACCAACTCGTTGTGCCGCATCATCAATGCAATGAAGTCGTGTGGCTCCTCGGGGCTCTCTGGCTCTCTGGCGTCGCCGAAGTTGAACTTATGCTGCTCCTTGCAGGCGGAGTGTTGCCAGGCATTTCTCGGTATACTCTGTGCCCCGCGGCAACACTAGTGGCTGCCGCTTTTTCACTTACACAGGAGGAATCCTCTGGGGAAGATGAGGCTCCCAGTCCTTCTCCTTTAGACCTTGCAGACAGCAGTCTGTCGAAGCACTGAGACGTGTAATATAAAAGTGCTGCTGTGGCCACTGCGAAGACACCGAAGGTGAAGGTCAACACCGTTCCGTTCTTGCGTCTGCGAATGGCTGCTACTCTCTCTTGGGGCCCAGCCTCCCATGACTTAAAAGCCTTCATCCTCTCCTCACTACTGGAGCGCTCAGTAGCAGCAACACCACCTGCCCAGCTCTCCCCATCACCAGGCTCCCTCACCACATCAGCCCCCCGTATTCCTTCCAAGGAGCTCATCACCCCCAAAGACCCCAGAACAAACCCGAAACAAAACAAACGCAACATCTCGGATATTCTGCCTCGTTGCCTGACCAGTCACCTGTCCAGTGGTCTGGTGACCCTATGAACGCTTCTCCTGCAACCAAGACTGCAGCGGGCCTCTTTACAAGAAGACCAAACAACAAAAAAATGTTAAAAAGACGGACAGATTGTTAACAATTACATAAAGTTGCAATCTTCTGGCTGACAAAGACAGCCAGCAGCTCCTCCTCCCCCCCTAGACCCCAGCAGCAGCAGCATCGAGGTGGGTGCGCCGTTGCAGCAGCCCCATCTCTGTGCTGTGTTTGTTTCACGGAGACGAAGCAGAAACTGGATTTTCTCTTTTTATTTTTACGAGGATTTCTCCTTAAAACTTTGTGTGTAGGCAGAAACCGACAACACACAACAACAACACCAACCCGTCTCTCGCTGGGTTGCTAGTCTAGGGGTGTACAGCCCAAGGCAGCAGATGAAACAACACCTGCGCTGCTTGGGGCCAGCCATAGAATAGAAAGCTAATATATAATTTATATTAGTTACAACATTTAGTTTAGGGTTCATCACCCCCAGGCCCTAAACACTCAGCTCCAGGCGGGGGAGAGGGATCCATTTGCTGCGTGTGGTCTGCGGCGCACCCGTAGAGGGTGGAGCCCTACAGCTTAGATACAAAACCCTAAACCCTAAACCCTAAACTCTGAGTCTGCCAGACCGTGTGTACTGCGTCAGTTGTCTCCTCGTAGTCTCGGCGCAGGGACGCTCACAACCATGGGGGCCCCATAGTCTCACCCTATAAACCATAGACCCTAAACCCTGTGTCTACCCTAGCCGCTGCCTGGAGCCATCCCTGCCTCGCCCCTACTAGCTCTTGCTACACATGTGCCAGCAGCAGCAGCGGCTGCGACTGCTGCTGCTCCCGCCCCAGCAGCAACAGCTAACCCAGAGTTGCTGCAATCTACGCTAG